GGAGCAGGAGACGGCGCTTGAACCCACAGTGAAGTGCCCAGCCCCTCCCGCTAGCGGACCCAAGCCCGCACTGACCCGCCCGCAGCCACCCGCACTCTGCGCTCTGTCTCCGAGACAGAACGCAACGAAATTGTCCAATCACAGGTGGCAGTGCTCGACACCCCGCCTGCTCATTGGTTGCCGTGCTCATGGAGGCGGGCTTGGGGGGGGGGGGTGGAGGCGTGATATAGACAATACACCAGCGCTGCTTGTCAACGGCTTGGGAGTTCAGCTCCCAACTGTCCGCGCGAAACGGAACGATCCTATTGGCTCCGATTCAGCCAATAGAAGCTCTCCTCTCTCTCCTGCCCTTCCACTCCTACCTCACGCTCGCACTTGCTGGGGTGTGCTAGTGCCTAAGAAGCCGTTGCGGAGCCGGAGCTCCCTTAGTCCGTGAGAAAGGATTGACAGCGGCTCACTGGACACCCTCATCCTGCCGGGCTGATGCCCTGCCTCTGGTGTTAGTATGGATGTTGTAGGCTGCCCACTGAAAATTCTCCACCCCAAACCCAAACCTCACTTTTTACCCATAAAACTCTTCCATAAACCAAAGCAGACAAGGTTCTTTGGGTGAATCTGATATCTTTTATTAGACCAACTTAAATAGTTGGAAAACCATTATTAAGTAAGCTTTCGGGTTCAAAAACCCTTCGTCAGGCTGAGGAAGTTTCAGCAGTTCTTTACTTTTCATTCCTGGATGGAATGAAAAGTAAAGCCAGACTGGGCTGGTATGCATACAAGACAGGTAGTCAGTGAAAATGTCAATGGGTAAGAGACAGGCTAAGTGTGGGGGAGAGTAGGGGGATGAATAGTGGAGAGATACCTGGGGAGTCAGATGTCAGGCAAGTTATAATGTGTCATAAATCCAATGTCTATATTTAGTCCATGATTTTTAGTATCCAGGAGGTTGATGAAGTGCAGTTCATAGGCTCGTCTCTGGGAAGTGTTTTGTAAGTTTCCTTTGAGGATCAGGACTGAGAGATTGGAGAGAGAGTGGTTTTCTTGTGAGAAATGTGCCTCCACCGGTAATTGGGTATTTCTGTCTTTGATAGATTTCCGGTGTGCGTTCGTTCTGGTGCGCAGTTGTTTGGTCTCTCCTAAGTATTTTCCATCAGGGCATTTGGTGCATTGGATGAGATATGCATACCAGCCCAGCCTCTGGCTTCTTACTTTTCATTCCATCCAGGAAGAGCACACA